TTATATATATTCTTTATATTCTTCTGGATTTTATAAATATATAATAATATTATTAAAGTAAACTACAATAAACTTATTTAAATATTTCCATAGAATATATGTTATGTATTATGCAAATTATATTAGTAGATTCTTTAAATCTATTAATATAACTATCTATTCAAATAGTTCTTTATCTATAAGGAAAGCTATTTTCTAAATATTATTTTTAGCTATTTATAGGTTGTAATAACCTTATTAAATATTAAAAACTATTATGATCTTTACTCTCTATAATAGATCTCTTTTTTGTTCTTAATAAGATGCCTTATTTATATTATTTACTATTTTATTATTCAATGCTCTATAATTAATAATTATTCATTTAATTATATCTTTTTTATTAATAAATATTAATTATACTAATGCTTTTTTATATTCTAATTATATATATATTACTTTATAAAATTTATTAATAAATTTATTCTTAAGTTTTAGTTTATCTCTTAATTTATAATATTACTTAACTAATAATAGTATAAATTCTTCTTTTAATTCAATTTATACTTCAAATTTTTTATTATATATTAATAATCACCATTCCTTTTTTATAAATAGTTTAATAAACTTATAGTACTTTTTAAATAACTTTATTAAAACTTTTATAAGTTCCTTTTCATATAATTCTTTTAGTTTTAGCTTTATTTTTTATATCTTTTTAGTAATCCTTATCTTATTAATTATTTATACTTATTAAATTATCTTAATTTCTTTTATATTATTATTTCTAATTTTTTTTTTTTTTTTTTTACTTTAATCCCTCTAACTATTTTATATCTTTTTTATATTTTATACTTTATTTTTTTTATTAATATATTTAATATCTTTAATAAATATTATCTTCTATTTTTATTCTTTTATCTTTTATATTATTCTTTTAACTTCTAATAATATACTAAGAATTTTTTTTAATTCCTCTTATAACTATACAATCTCCTTAATATTCTTTTTAATTATTTATATCTTTAGTACTATTTTATTAACAATTATTATTTTCTTAGTCTAGTTGATTATTAGATTTTGAGTTTATAACTATATCATTCCAAATATAGTATTATAGTATTCTTTTAATACTAGTATAATATTAAATATAATTATTATAATATATTATCTTGATTTTATAATAACATTTAATATCTACCTTTTATAGCCTTGATTGATTATTTCTTTATTAATAGAGATAATTATTATCTATTTATCAGTCTAGATTATAAACAGTTCTACTTCTTTTATAAATTCTTTTTTAATATAGTTATAGACTGCTTCTAAATCTAATAAGATTTTTATATTTTTTCTATTAATTTTTGCTAATATTATTACTATTTAACTAATTACTTTTAATTCTATAGTTATTATAATAAATTCCATTATAATTATATGCCTTTCTTAATACTTTTATTAATATTTAAAATATTCCTTAATACTATAATAATACTACTTATATAATCTTTCTACTTCATATTTAGTAATTATAATATCATTATAATAAGAATATATAGATTCTTAATAAATACACTAGTATTTTATCCTTTCTTATAAATATTTAAGTCTTAATTCTTTAATCATTTCTAAAATCTTTAGAAACTATTTCTTTTATTTTTTTTCCACAAGATATATTTCACATAATAAGTTATAACACATTATTTAATATACTTTCTAATATAGATTTCCTCCTAATACTAGATAGTAATAATAAGAATAATTCTTTATATATTTAATTATTCTATTATAAAAGCATTATTCTCGCTTATATAATATATATTTATATATATTTACTAGAGATATATGCATTTATCTATATTATTAGTATATATAATATATCTATTCTTTACAGTGCTCACATTCTTTAATATAATCTTTCTATTTCTTTTAAAATCTCTTTTAATAAGTTACATTTACTAATATATAACTATACTAATTATTCTCTTAAGGCCAAATAATATTATTTTATACTTTATTTAATTCTTTCTCAATAGAATTTTTATCTAATTCTTAATATAAGTCCTTATAAATTATTATTATTAACTTATTATCCTGCAACATTAATTAAGTATAAAGTAACTCTTCTAATAAAGATTTTACTTAAATATCCTTTATATTAAAGTCTTTTATATTAATTTTTTTTAAATCAATATCTTTACTATATCTTTCTAATAAATCTTTAATATTTTTAAAATAATATATAAGAAATGCCTAGCTAATTAATTCTTTTTTTAAATTATAAGATTAATGTCCCTTCTTTATATTAGTACTAACTCATCTTATTTATTTAATACTTCTTCTAAGACTAAATCTTTTCTATTTTTATTTTTTATCTTTATTACTTAATTTTTTAAACATTTTCTTTAATTATTCTAAAATTTCCTACTTTTTAATTTATTATATCTATTCTACTCAAATTTATTCATAGTTCATTATTTATTCTAATTATTATTCTTCATCTTTAACTGATTGCTTTAAATCTTTATTAAAATTAATTTTATCATCAGCTATTCTACTAGTTTTATTATTATTAATTATAATTAGTAGAATTATTATTATAATTTGCTCTTTTAAATTTAAAGTAACCAATTTCTAGTTCTTTCTTAACTTTTAGTATTAATTTATAAAATAATCTAATTTTTTATAGTTAAAATAAGCTTTATTTTTTCTTAATTTATCTTTCTTTTCTTTAAATAAGGTTATATTTAATTATATTATTATATCTCCATCCTTATCTTTAGTCTATTTCTAATATAAGTTTACTTTATTTTATTTAAACTCTTTTTTTTCTATTTATTAGGTATATATAATTAAATTAATCTAAGATACTACTTTTATTATTACTTAAAATATTTCTAGTTATAATATTATTATTAAGATTTAATTTTTAATATTATTCTTTAGTCCTTCATAGAACTAATCTCTAAATCTTTAATTATTCTATAAAAGTCCTTCTAATATTTATAAGAATTTAAAATATATTCTTCAACTAAGGTTTATTATTTAATATATTAAATCTTATTAATAACTTTAATTTTCTTATTAATAGTTTCTTATAATTAATTAAGTTTTTCTTTGTAGTATTAATAACTAGAAAATATTATAATTATTTTAGGGTTCCTTTATTCTTCATTACTATATATATAATATTAATTAATAATATATAGAGCAAATCACTTTATAATTTCTTTATTAAGAAAGTTTAATACTACTAGTATTTTATTAGATTTATTTACAATTTATTTACTATTATATATAAAATAAAGTTATATTTAAGTAAGATATATCTTAAGGATTCTATATTCTTCTTTAAATAAAGTTACTATTCTAATCTTAATTTCTTAAAATACTTGGCTTAGTCTTTTTTTAGTATTAATTATAGCTTATTTTAATTCTTTAATATATTATAATAACATTATTATATCTCTATTATTAATAGTTATAATATTTCTACTACTAGTGTTAGTAGTTTATAAATTAAGTTTTAAAATTACTAGAATTAGGATTTAAGATATTATTATTATTTATTTTTAAGACTTCTCTTTTAATTAAAAATCTTAAATTATTAGAAACTTCAGTTTATTTATTATTAAGTATAGCTAGAATAGCTATTAATAGATAAAATTAATAGACTTTTAAAATTAAAAGATTTTAATAGATAAAAGAAATAAGAATAAGACTATAAATATTCTAATTAATAAAAGATTATATATTTAAATTATCATAGTTAATTTAAAATAATAGAAAAAAATTAAATATATAATAAATAAGTATCCTTATATAGCTTTTCTTTATTATAATTTTTATAAAAATCCTCTGATTTCTTTAATATATAGATTATAGTTATTATAAAAATCCTCTGATTTCTCTGATACCCTAACCCTAAGGCTTTACGGGTAATCCTTTGTTCCGATGTGCATTAGTCCCGTAGTGACTAACCTGATCCATTGGCTGTGACGTTCTGATTCTCTGACAATTATATAAATATATTTACTATAATATTTTAAAATTTTAGATTTTATATATAATTTTTTAAGTTTAGTATAATAAAAATAAAGAATTATAAGAATAACTTTAATAGATTTAATTCTTAAAAAAAGATTCTTTTTAGAAATATTTTTCTTTAAAGATATAATTAATATAAAACTATAAAATTATATATTATAGAAAATTAAGAGCTAAGATTAATTACTTATATATTTAGAAGATATAAGCTATTTATTAAACTATTAAGAAACTAGTCTTTAGAGAAGAGGATTATTAGAGAATTAAAATATTATAACTAATAAATAAGGAATGCTAATGCATAGAAATAAAGAATTATCTAAGAACATTACATAAGAGACTAGAATATATTAGGATTAGAGCTATTATAGCTATTAGAGCTAGTTATTAATATATGGCTATAATAAATATAATTAGACTTATTAGAGTCAGGTGTAAAGAAATAATTATGATGACTATAATAGAGGAAAGTTATATAAGGATGCTTATTTATTCTATATTTAGTTTTCTTCTATTATCTTGAATTAACTGTGTTAAATATCTCTTAATTGAGATAATTTAAATATATAATCTTCTATTAATTAGGATATTTAGAGCCTTATTCTTATTATTTTTGTCTACTGAGATCTTTTGATCTTAGAAGCCTATTAACTTTGCCTGTTAATAGCTATCCTAGCTATACTCGACGGTAATCTAACCGAAGTTTCCGACAGACCCCTGCAAGAAAACCGTACTATGGAAATCACCGGGGTCAACCGGAGTAGTCACCAAAATATTCCGAGCCTATTATCATCGTTATAGGGGAAAGACATTGAAAGAAAGCCTGATAATTATTCTTAGGAGTTGTACACCGCCCCCACTGCCACTGCGTGTTCACTTTTAGTAAGACCACCCTACTTAACTACTTCCCTCTTCTTCGCTCTTTCCTCATTCTGTTCACGTTCTCATCTCGAGTCAGATAGGCTCCTCTTATTATGGAGAGTCGAACTGGTGTTACAGACAAACAACCAAAATTTCAGCAATCCAGTTCCGACCCCGTCTCCCACTTGTCTCTGTCGAGCTCTGAGGATCCGCTGCAATGGCCTAAGTGGAAGAAATGGCCTCGCACAATGATTGTCATTTCAATGTCTTTAACATTGGCCTACTACTCTGGAGTCTATGCTGCGGCCATTCCGTTCGTCATGGCCGATTACCATTGTTCTAACCTGGTGGCCACCTCTGGCATTTCCTGGTTTCTCCTCGGCTTTGCTTGTGGTCCGCTGGTCTTCGCTCCTCTTTCCGAGATGTTCGGTCGCAATCCCATCATTCTAGTCACTCTGCTGCTTTTCATTCTTTCCAATATTGGATCTGCTTTGGCACCGAACGTTGTATGCCATCTTATCTTTCGGTACATTGCGGGCTTTTGTGGGGCTCCGACAGGTATGATTAAGTCCCGCCAAATAAACTGCAGCTGCAGTTGGACGGTCGAAAAGAGCAATTTATTATTATTCAACATACTGATGTATTCGGCTTGCAGTGACAAATGCTGGGGGTTCACTCACCGATATGTGGCCAGCGACAGAACGCTCAGTGCCCTGGGCCATTTTCTCAGCCGCCAGCTTCCTGACCGTAATCATCGGCCCGATCATTGGAGATGCGATTGTTCAATACTTACCCTGGCAATGGTGTGAGATCCTCTTATTCCATTTCCAAAGTTTAGGCGTTGCCTTGACTGATCATTTTAAACAGGACGTATTGGACCTCAATGGCCTTGGGCGGAACCGTCTATCTCGCTGCTCTCCTCTTCCTCCCCGAGACATATCGTCCAAAATTATTGTCTCAAAAAGCAGCCCGGCAGGGCTTGGTGCTCGAACAGATCGATCTGCGAAACCGGTACCGCGAGGGTCTCACACGTCCATGGATCATGCTGTTCACAGAACCCATCGTATGGGGTCTCACCCTTTATATGTCCTTTGTGTATGGCGTCTTGACCCTCAGCCTCGTCGCCTACCCCATCGTCTACACTGACATCTGGGGCTGGTCTACCCTCAAGACGAGTCTGGGCTATAGCGGCATCGCCGGCGGCATGGCTCTAGCGACGATCTTTTCACCCTTCCTAGGTGCCATCCATCGCTCCTACGTGCGAAAAATCGGACCCGTCCCCGAAGCCCGCTTCCCCTTGCAAATCTGGTTCTCGTGGCTTCTCCCAATCGGGCTGTTTTGGTTTGCGTGGACGGCATTACCGCCCAAAAACCCCGTGGTGGGCATCGTAGCCGGTGTGCCGATCGGTATCGGCTCACTGTCCGTATTTCTGGATGTGTACGCCTATCTGACTGATTGTTATGGTAAATACTCTGCCAGTGCGATGGCCGCCAATGGCGTACTTCTTCGCTTGTTCGGAGCCGGATTCCCTCTTTTCGCGGACTCCCTCTACCGGGTCCTGGGCGTAGGCTGGGGTACTAGTTTACTCGGGTTTGTAGCCCTGGCGTTAGCACCTCTACCCTGGCTTTTCTATCGATATGGGCCCATCTTGCGAAAGAAGAGTGCATACCATAGCAAGTTGGCCAGTGAGCTTGAGTAAGGAAAATAATGGGAGAAATTGATTTTACACGTTTTTGTCTAAAAAAAGAAAAGAAGCAAATACCTTGCATTGTTGCAAAACGGATGGTCACATTGGGAAATAGCCCAGGAACACAGGACAAACTGGTGATTTTTCATTCGCTTATGTGGCTGTCACAGCCACGCATCCCACGATGGCATGGGAAGGAAAAATGTGAACTTGAGGGTATGAAAACTCTGGGTCTGAAGGGAGGAAGTTTATCATTAGATACATGTATGTCATACAATTCTAGAAGCTTTATCCATACTCATAGAGGTAATATCTTTCTACAGATATCACCAAAGCACCTGGTGGAAAGCCACTGGATAATTTTTTAAAAAAAAGCCACTAATGTCAACGTGCCAATTCGATTGATTCGGTCAACTAACTACCTACCCAAAGGAGCGCCTCTCAACGAGAATATCAAGCACAGAAGAGGAAGAAGAAGAGAAGGAATCAAGTGCCCAGCCAAACATTATATATGCGCAGGCCTGTTGGTGAACGGCGCAAATATTGAGAAAAAAAAAAAAAAAGAAAAAGAAAAGAAAACGGAGAAAAAGCGAGAGATTGAAAATATCCCGCCTACCAATGCCATCATCACAGCCGCCAGTACCGAAGTATGAGCAGCATCGCCGGATGCATCACCGCCACAACTCCACGGGACTATCTGTCAGAATATAGTTTTCCAGTATAGCTCTTGATGCGGAAGCCCCAGCTATCAACTTCGGCCATTTCATGGTCGGAAATTGCAGGGCATCTTCTGGAAAGAACGACGAATGCTCTCCATTACGCCACCGAATTAAAAAAAAATCGAAACAATCACCTAAGTTAGTTAGCATACACGCCTTAGCGAAGTCGTAGATGATGCACAGCCACGTCATGAGTATGTTCAGAGCGCAACGGAAGTCAAGAAAGAGAATGACGATGATCGTCATCAGTCAAACTATCGGCTGTCCGACACGCCAACCCAAGACCAGCATGCTTCAGGACCATCTACCGGCCACAAACACAAAAGGGACGTTGATAATTATTAACAGCCTTCCAAGATGTACCAAGACATGTGTCAATCCTTCAGTAACACGATTGCCCGACTTAGAAGAGATTTACGTTTCTCGCAGTCGGAGAATCGCAAATTCCAACAGATTCTCGACGAGCAAAAGGCCCGTAACAGTTTAGAATGTCCGGTCTGCTGCGAGGAGAAAGAGAAATGGCTGTCCGTCCCTCTGTTATGATTACGTCCTAGACCTTATGAAGAGGGAGACGTTCTTCAATAAGATCTGCCCTTTGTGCCAGGCGCCGATAACATCTCTTGCCGTGTGCTACTGTACTCAAGTGTGAGATAGGTTGATTGTCCTGTTGCGCAATACATGTTGTGGAAATCTTGCCTCGGCACCGCCATCCATGCTTCTTGTTTGGTCACATTCTCTTCCTTAATCCTGTGACAAAGTCACTTGGTGTTTGCTGCTGAGGAACAGGATAATATGAATCCTATTTTCCGCAGTTGGCTCTGAAGATCGAGCTACGAGTAACATAGTACTGCACCAGATATGACATTTGTGATGACCCGGGGCTCGTCTTCTCTGCATAGAATGTCTTGATTCACCCATCTCGAAATCGTATGCCAAGAAAGATGTCTACATCGGCAATAGTGCTTATCTCGTATGCTTTTTTGAAGAGTGTATTGCCGCGACGGTTTCGCTGCTGTCTTTTTTGTTTCTTGAGTGCCGAATTTTCTCGCAGGATGCGCAGTTCAGTCATTTGTTCCATAACACCTGGTTGTACACTAACAGAGTGTTCATCATCTAATGTCAGCCCTCTGTATAGCCGGATTTCTGTTAACCCCGCTTCTATTGGCCTAGGAACGGTGAATTTCGAGAAGATCGTGATTAGCAGTTCTAATACTAAATACTCCCTGTCAAAAGTGGACTGACAAGATCAGTTTTAGCTGGGTTGTCCGCAACGGCCACCTGCATCGATTAAGGAATAGAGAGCAGCCACGAGCGGATGATATTACAGAGGACACTCAGATCCTTCAGGCCATTCAAGACTCCTTCGTTGAACAGGTTGGTCTTGCCGCCGACTCTAATGACTTATGATTGGTGAAGTGGCCAACTGGATTTGGGATGACTAACCAAGGCCAAGAAACCAGCTCCTGAATAGCATTCTTCCGATGGCCTATTGATAATTCTTCGTGACTTGTTGCAGGACATTCACTTCCTGATAATCAATGGAAGCCATCGGATATCTAGCAATATATAGTAGGTTTAAAATCTTATCGTTACTGTACCTTGATAAGTCTGGTAGAATCTAATCGTAGTCCTGTTGGTCCACAAAGTTCGGATCCTTTGCTTGATGGTCCTCGTGATGATCCAGGCCAGATATTCTGGACCAGTCATGATTCTTACGGTGTTCTGCCACAGCACGCACGTTGTATTAGTTACATGGTGTTCTTGTTATCTTTCAGCTAGGTGGCGGAGCAGAAAATTTGAGCTTGTAAGTTGGACCATATTAGAGTCATGTTGAGCTTAGCTCTATTATAGCAACTTGGCAATTATATTTATATGCCGATATGTGGTGACTCTTGGTGTATATAAAGCCTAGGTGATTCCCCTTAGAGTACAGTGTGCTCTTTTTTTTTAAAATTATCTTCCAACACCACCATCAATGGAAAGACTACAACTGTTTTGTTCTGCAGCAGTAACTAGTAAGCACCTATCAGACCTGCTACAGTACGTAGAGAGAATCTAGCTTCCTCTCATAATACTATACAGAATGATATAAACTTACCGCCTTCTATCATCCCTCTGGATGAATCCTCATTTCCAGACTTGGTTCTTGCGAGGCAGTTCCTATTTGATGATGATGATGTAAGAGTGGAAACCCACTTCTATCTGATTATGATAGATATTTTATATATAATAGTAAATAAATTGTGAGTAAATCTAATAAAGTATTAATAGTATTAAGCTTTTTTAATAAAGAAGCTATGAAGTGGTTTACTTTATATATTATTAATTAGTATTAAATAATTAGAAATAAAATATAAAGAAATTCTAAGATAATTATAATATTCTTTAGCTATTAATATTATAAAGAAAAACTTAATTAATTATAAAGAACTATTAATAAAGAAATTAAAGCTATTAATAAAATTTAATATATTAAATAATAAATCTTAGTTAAAGAATATATTTTAAAATTCTTATAAATATTAAAAGGTTATAAAATAATTAAAGATTTAGAGATTAGTTCTATAAAGAACTAAAAAATAATATTAAAGACTAAATCTTAATAATAATATTATAATTAGAAATATTTTAAATAATAATAGAAGTAGTATTATAAGTTAATTTAACTATTTATATTTAATGAATAGAGAAAGGAGAGTTTAAATAAAACAAAGCAAACTTAAATTAGAAATAAATTAAGGATAAAAATGGAGATATAATTATATAACTAAATATAATGCTATTTAAAGAAGAAAAAAAGAAACTATAAAAAAAAGCTTATTTTAATTATAGAAAACCAGATTATTATATAAATAAATATTTAAAGTTAAAAATGAATTAGAGATTGGCTATTTTAAGTTTAAAAGAATATATTGTAATGATAATTCTACTAATAAAGATTAATGCTAGCAAAGCTAATAAAATAGTTAATAATAAGATTAATTCTAATAAAGAACTAAAATAGTCAGTTAAAGATAAAAAATAATAAATAAAATAAATAATAAATTATAAATAAATTTAATAAGAATAGATAAAATAAATCAAAGAGTAGAATATTCTAGAATAACTAAAAAAAATACTTAGTAATCTAAGTAAAAATAAAGAAAAATAAAAACAGAAAAAAAAAAGATCTAATTTTAAAAAGAGTATTAGACAAATAAGATAAATTAATACTAATATAAAAAAGGAACATCAACCTTATAATTTAGAAGAAGAATTAATTAACTAAATGTTTTCTTACACATCACCTAGAAAAATTAAAGACTCATTAGAAGAATATAATAAAGTTATTAATTTAAAAGAGATTAACATAAAAGACTAATATAAAAGATACCTAAGCAAATTCCTTATTAAAAGAGTTACTTTATATTTAACTAATATTATAAGATAATAAGCCGAAGATAATAACTTATAAGAATCTATATTAAGAACAAGATAAAAATCCTATTAAAAAAGAATCAAATAAAGCATAAAATAATATTATTTAGCCTTAAAAGAATAACTAGTATAATTATATATTAATTAACGCAATTTACTAGGAGAAATCTTAAAAAAAAATAGAAAGATTATATTAAAGAATATAAATACTATAAAGAATAAATATATCATATATACTAATAATATAGATAAATATATATCACATAAGCAAGAACAATACTTTTATAATAAAATAATTAGATATATAAGAAACTATTTTTATTATTACTATCTAGCACTAGGAGAAAATTTATATTAGAAAATATATTAGATAGTATATTATAATACATTATATAAAATACACCTCATGGAAAAAGAATAAAAAGGATGGTTTCTAAGAATCCTAGAGATGATTGAAGAATTAAGATTTAAATATCTATAGAAATAGATAAAATGCTAATATATTTATTAAGAATCAGCGCATCTCTATTATAATAACATCATAATTACTAACTATAAAGTAGAAGAATTATATAAACAATATTATTATAGTATTGAAAAATACTTTGAATGCTAATATGTTACGAAACCAACTTGCATGATACTAGGCAGAAACTAGTACTATCAAGGGAAGGTGCTTAGTTAAAGCAGCTAACACCACGACTAGTTATTCACACGCACTAGCACACAAAGTGGTTATTAAACATATAGACTTATAGCTGACATAAGGAAACATATAATAAATATACACTTACCAAGAAGATGTGCAGTATATACTAGTATATACCACAGCTGTATATTAGAATATATACTAGTATATACCTAGTATATATACTA